TCCAGTCAGTCAGTTCAGTGTAATCAGTTAAGTTATCAGTTCAGTATTTTCAGTCTAGTCAATTAGTCAGTTCAGTTCAGTTTAACAGTACCAGTTCAGCTCAGTTTTCTTATCAGTAAAGTTAAACCCAGAGATGATTCCAGTTAACCATTCAGATCAAGTCGAGCATCTTAACAGTTATTTTATCAGTCTGAGTCTGAGCATAGTACTTATTATTTGTTTATATATGTCAGTTTCGCAGGCAATCAGCACTTACATTTTCAGATCAACAGTTCAGGTGGGGACTCAGACTGGGTATTACATTGATTATAATTACGGTACCATGTTTGAGGTATGTATTATCATGTCATGTATCCGCTTGGAATGGTCGCCGGTCCATTCTGGGTTCTAGTGGCCTAGTCTGCCCACTAGAGTGTGCACATGGTGTCCGGCATTTTTGTGCTGGCAGATGAGGTAACGGTCATGGTTCATGTGATGATTATCAGGTTCATATTTATTACCGGTTTCATGTTCAGGTTATGTATATAACAGGATCATGATATTGCAATTATTTTCACTGTTTACTTTAGTATGAGTTTCTGCGGAGCACAGTGTATTAGTGCTCACGCCCCCACATTTTTCATGTTTTTCAGGTCACAGAGTCGGAGCCGAGGAGTGAGCGGGCGACCGGTTCAGGACATTATTTATATGCATATATTGTGTTTTGGCTACACTGATGTTTCCGCTACTGTTCAGTTTTTACAAACCAGCTTTTAACCCGACACTAGTCGGTTAAGTTATTATATAACCGTTTTATTATTAAACTTAAAATTACGGCTTTCAGAACAAGTCAGATTTTACGGTAGCACCCCGAATCAGATTTCGCAAAAAGAAATATTTTCATTTAGAAAATTTGCGAAAAGTGCACTCTAAAATTCATGAAATAGCGGGGTGTTACATTTTTATTTTCTTTTTTAATCAGATACAGTCTAGAAGGAAGTTATATGGTGGCTGCAGGGAAAATTTACCATTTAAAATATATTCAGCAAATTTTCAATAGTTAGACTAGAAACATTTACCCTCAATTATTATAAAATGTCACTTGGGGGAAAAAAAATGATGGAATAATAAACACTGATCTATCTAAAGTATTGATATGTTGACACCTCGTATAGCAACCAAGCGGATGTGATCATGATGAACGCTTAAGTCACTACCATACAATTATTATATGATGAAGACAAGGCCAAAATTGAATTGGTATAAGCAGTAGGTGGCACATGACATGGCCTCATATCCCTTTATTTACAAATAATCGTGAAATAAATTATATTGTGTTTTTTTTCTTTTTTTTTTGTTCTCGTAGTCAGTCACTGTATTTGAAGGTATGCTCCGACTAATCTGTTGGTCGACTCGAATCGCACACCTGACAGTGGTGGGTGAGTCACCCAACAAAGGTTTTCTGCATTAATAAGGACTCGAGCTCGAGACCTTGCTTAAGAGCATCCACAATGCTTTAGGTTCAATAAAAAAAAATTGAATGCCACCTCGAAAATAGACTCAGTCTAAAAAAATATGTTCTCTAATGCAAGTGTAAGTGGACTAGGTCTTACTGATGTGGCAGCAAGAAAAAAGAGACCGGTCTAACCTTACGTCCATTTTAGACCCAACAAGAGACCTAGTCTCCTTGCATTGGAGTAGATTTTGTTAATTTTATATATTTTTGTCCATGTCATCCAAGTTTTAGGTTCATTTACATTCCACATAGACAAAATTAGACCTAAAGCATTGCAGATGCTCTAAGAGACATCAAGATGCTTACCATTTGAGTCAACCGTGTTGATAATTATATTGTGATTTTTAATCAGTAATTTCACTACGAAATGCCCCATTTGTTTATCATTAAAAAGGTGAAAAAAAAGGCAAGTTATTATCATGGAATACGATGGAAATCTTTAACTAAATGACATGGCGTCCACCAAAATAATTACTTAGTCAGAGATGTTAAACGGGCTAGTCCTGATAGTTTCAAGCTAGTCCTAACGAGTTTTGAGCTAAACGATCCGAGCCTAAAAAATATGAATTTAAACGAGCTACCAATAAGTGGACATATCCCTAATCCTACGAGCTTCGGACTAAAAGAGCTATAATAATAATAATGATAATAATAATAATATGTAAAAAACATATAAATAAAAATTACAACAACTACTTCACAATTGTTTTGAACGGCTGTTTAGTATTGGTACTGAACAACATAAATATAATAACACATGCGTAATGAGGTAGTCAGTAGATAAATGAACAATCGGAAGGAAAAAAAAAAAAAAAAAAAAAAAAA